CAAATCTGAAAGATGATCCATGTAAAAAGAAAGTCTATAGGAAAACTGCAAATCATTTGACAAATACTGTTTACAATATTCCCTTCTTGAAGAGGCCCAATTCACTTGAGTATATTAAAGATGCCAGGAAATCCCATAAAAAAGAATCCTGTTGGGGCGCCTGGGTGGCTCAGTTGTTAAGCGTCTGCCTTCGGCTCAGGTCATGATCCCAGGATCCTGGGATCGAGCCCCGCATCAGGCTCCCTGCTCGGCGGGAAGCCTGCTTCTCCCTCTCCCACTCCCCCTGCTTGTGTTCCTTCTCTCGCTGTGTCTCTCTCTGTCAAATAAATAAAATCTTTAAAAAAAAAAAAAAAAAGAATCCTGTTAAACCATGCTCACGAAGTTTTGCATAAAGTTTAGTCGATAATTTTTTTTCTTCTTTGTATACAACACCTATTGGTAGACCAAAAAACTAGTGTCCTATTAAACATAGTTTGGGGCAAATCTCTGAAAGCACCTTGGAGAAGCTCCATTTCTAACCTAAGCCTTCCATAGTTTCTGCTTTATGTTCCCACTGGGACTGACACTACAAAGCAATACAAATGCTATGGATGGTACATGCCTCTCGTTCTGCAGATCTGGCTTCAGGCCCAGGCATGGAGCATCATGGAAGGGGAAAGTGAAGAAAATGTAAAAAGGAAATTATTTCTGCTAAAAGCCTTCTTAAGAAAGTGGGGCCTGTTGCAGGTAACAAAAGATTGGTCACTTGCGTTTGGCTAAGCACCCTGATGGGTTCTAGAAAGAGCAACACAGGACTTGAGCTGGGTTTGGCAGTAAAGGCTAGAAAGAGCCATTATCATACTGTAGTACAGAAGATTTTAAGAGTCCATCAGGTATTCTCTAAAGCTGGAGGGAGTAGAAGAGAAGATGCGGCTGAGGAAGAGGGTAAGACAATCTAACAGATGGCCAGAGGCAGACATGGCTGTCGTCAGGAAGCACAGCCAGAGTGAAATCCCTGATAGTGGGTGGTCCAACAAAATGATTTACATCTAATATGCTCGTTGTTTACTATGTAGTACAACGGGGTAATTTCTTCTTGTACTCAAGGTAGCCTGGGGCTTCTCCCATATTTGAATCCACACCACATGGAGATCAAAGCACAAATTTAGGACCTAGTGCTTTGTAAAGCTGAGTACAAAAAAATCAGTTAGATCCAGGTAGCTATGAAATAAAAAATTATCTTATCAGTTTCTCCCACCTCTTCTCCAAGAATATGTAGAAACAAGCACTGAGAACAGTGCCTCACGCATCAGATAGTCAATTAGCTAGATTTTATTTTTTATTTTTACTTTTTAAAGATTTTATTTTATTTATTTGACAGAGAGAGACACAGCGAGAGAGGGAACACAAGCAGGGGGGAGTGAGAGAGGGAGAAGCAGGCTTCCTGCTGAGCAGGGAGCCCGATGTGGGGCTCGATCCCAGGACCCCGGGATCATGACCTGAGCCGAAGCAGACGCTTAACGACTGAGCCACCCAGGCGCCCCCTTAGCTAGATTTTAATGAACAGGTAAATACTAGCTGACACCTGCAAAGTTTTCATCCTTTCTAAGAGACAGCTCCTTTTATAAGAGTCTTTCCATTGTTTTTCAGCACATAATGAAAGTGATTAAAACACACACACACACACACACACACACACACACACACACACTTACATACCACTCAATTTCCACAAAGAAAAGGACTCAAAATGAATGTGAATTCTATATCTTTACTCAATGGTTAAATCTGAATTTATGAGGAAGATGTAACCCCAAACTCAAGTAAATTATTCAAGTATTAGGGCTGAAAGAAAAAAAAAAGATTTCTGGGGCACCTGGCTCGATCAGTCCACAGAGTAAGCGACTCTTGACCTCGAGGTTGTGAGTTCGAGCCCCACACTGGGTACAGAGATTACTTAAAAACAAAACAAACAAAAAAAAGATTTCTAGTCTGATTTATTTTTTCTTTTCTTTTTTTAAAGATTTTATTTATTTATTTGAGAGAGAGAGAGCGCAAGTAGAGGGAGAAGCAGAGGGGGAGGGACAAGCAGATTCCACACTGAGCCCAGAACCAGACGCCGGGCTTGATCTCATGACCCAGAGATGATGACCTGAGCCGAAATTAAGAGTCGGACGCTCAACCAAATAAGCCACCCAGGCACCCCTGTTTTAATTTTTCAAGTGCAAATCTACATTGTCTCTTCAACAAATGGTACAGGGACAGGTAGATATCCACATGCAAAAAAAATAAAGTTTGACTTTAACCTCACACTATATATGTATATACATATATACATACATATATATATATTACATATATACATATACAAAATAACTCAAAATGAATCAAAGACCTAAATAGAAGAGCTAAAACTATACAACTCGTGGAAGAAAATATAGGGGTAAAATCTTCATGACCTTGGATTTGGCAATGGTTTCTTAGCTATGATACCAAAAGCACATGGACCAAAAAATAAATTAGATAAATTAGACTTCATCAAAATTTAAAACTTTTGTGCTTCAAAGAATACTACAAAGAGAGTACAAAAACAATCCACAGAATAGGAGAAAATATTTGCAAATCATGTATTTCATAAGGATCTAGTTTCTAGAATATAGGAAGAACTCTTACAATTCAACAACAAAAAGACAAACCAGTTAAAAAATAGGCAAAGGATTCGAATAGGAATTTCTCTAAAGATATACAAATGGTCAACCATGAAAAGATGCTCACTATCAACAGCCAGCAGGGAACTGCAAAGCAAAACCACAATGATACACCATTCACACCTACCAGGATAGCTAGCATCAAAAGACAGTAAGTGTTGGTGAGGATGTAGAGAAGTTTGAACCCTCAATACACTGAAGGTGGGAATGTAAAACAGTGCAGCCTCTGTGGAAAACAATTTGGTGTTCTTCAATAAATTAAGCATAAAATTACCATATGACCCACAATACTACTCCTAAGTGTAAGTCCAGTGAGAATTAAAACGTACGTCCACACAAAAATGTTCATAGAAATACTATTCATAATCGCCAAAAGGTGTAAAAAACCCAAATGCCCATCAACTTATCAGCAGATAAACAAAATATGGTATATGCATACAATGAAATATTATTCAGCCATAAAAAAGGAATGAAGTATTGATACATGCTATATTGTTGAAGAACCTTGAAAACACCATGTTAAATGAAAGACGCCAGTCACAGAAGGCCACCTACTGTATGACTGCATTTATATGAAATGTCCAGAGAGAGAAAGAAGTAGATTAGTGGTTGCCCCTGCCCCTGAAATAGGCTTAGTGGGTACAAGGTTTCCATCCGGGTGATGAAAATGTTCTCTAGGGGCGCCTGGGTGGCTCAGTTGGTTAAGCGACTGCCTTCGGCTCAGGTCATGATCCTGGAGTCCCAGGATCGAGTCCCGCATCGGGCT